TGGAAAATTGTTGGTGGAGATGTGACCAAGCTGTATAAAATACATGCATGTACTGTACTGATGAAAGAGGGATATTTTTGACCCCCTCTCAATACAGAACTCGGGTTCATCCAAGAGAAAACTGTTTGGCAGGAGATTCAGGGGCAGACAAAAGGAAGTACTTATTCACACAGTGAGTCTTTGGTTTATGGAATACCCTGCCACAATAAGTTGATTAGGGCTCTTAGGTCAAGTGACTGTAAAAGCAATTTAGGCAAATTCATGAATAGGTTTATCTATGACTACATCCCACCTCTAGGCTGGCAAACAGTGCTTGACTAGATGAACTTTTTGTCTCATCCAACAGAGTTTTTATATTTTCTAAGGATAAAAGTTATTGGGATTAGGAATCTGTAAAACTTGTTCTTCATAATCTTAATATGATCCTGGTCTTTATTTATTGTTGTCATACATTATTTTACTTATATCCCAGACTTCCTTCAAGAAGTTCATCACAGATTACATATGGTTGAACATTTCCCAAGTAGAAAGCTTAAAGGTTCAAACCTGATCAGTTTCAGCAGTCGAACTATATATTATGCCTTCTGAGCATTCTCTTTTCTTGATATTAAATAAAAGTGTCTCTCTTTATCGCGTGTGAAATATTTCCCCTCTCAAGGCCTAGGCCAATGTTGTCCTCTCCACTTGTAAATTGCTTAAATATTGGATTACACCATCTAAATTTGGTATGATATCTGTGTTCAGGGTTTCTCAATTATACTTACTATATAATACTTTGCAAATTAACTTTTGCATCATATTCTGGAATCTAGGTTTAAAACGGCAAAATACTTTGTCAGGTGAGCATCAGAATTTGACTGCCTAGACTTTTCTTGTATGCACTTATAAAGATGGAAATATTAAGAACTTCCATGAACAGGTTTTCACTTTGGAAGATCCAGATACTTCAGCAGGTAACACATAACTGAAATCTTTTTGTAGTTGTCAAAACAAGCAGCTCTAACTTTGTACATTTTCTGTTAAAACTAAAAGCACTATGACAGTCGGAATCCTGGTTAAATCAATATAAGAAGCAAACAGACTTTCCTTTTACTTCCAGGATTCATTAAGAGTTTTGACATGTCTGAAGTGCCTCTTCAAAACATTTCTGTGTCACTAAGGGCCTCTTCTCATGAGGTATTTTGTACTTTGGAGCAGAAACAGAGGTCAAAATATATGCATCCTGTGTTAAGTTTAAAGTCCACATACAGGTTTCAGGCATAGCTTTTCCCACACAGTGAGGATGGCAGGAAAGGTTCCCTACTGCAGTGTATTCTAAAGGGGAAAGGTGGTGGGCTAAGAAGCATTATCTTTTTTATAACTGGCCACCTACTTGTATGTTGTACCTAGGTATGTGGACCAAGGACCAAAATGCCTTGTTCATATATCTTGTGAGAAATGTCCCTCATTATAAAGATCTCAATTTGGCATTTTAGTGAAAGAGATCTATTTGCTGTATGCAGATACAGTATTTCGATGTCTGGCTAGCTGACCATATGGAGCAAATCTCTGCTTTTTATTGTTGTTTATGAAATATTTCCTATGCCGTCAGAGCCTCCTAAGGAGGTGGGAAACAATGAGAATGTTAACCCTACTGGCTGCTGGGTGACTGTCATTGTTTGTAGTCTACTTGACAGTTCTCAGTTTTGTTGATGCGTGGAACAGCATTGTCCTGATGTCTAAAGTCACTCACAATTAGCCTGAACTATAGAAGCTGCCAGTTTGGGCCTGGCTTAGATAGACAAAGTAGACAGAAGTGACCTGATATTTGCTTTTCAGTCTTTCAAAATTACCATCGATTTTGTCAACAGAATGTATTTATCTGAGGGAAAAATAAAATGGCCCTCGAAAGACATTTAGTCCAGTATTGCAGGCTAGTGTTTAGCATGCTGCTGAAATCTGTCTTTACAGATACTCCACACTGTTACTATATTTTTACACACACACACACACACACACACACACACACACACACACCCCTCTCAAACTATCCATCTCTGTGAATTCGCAGAGGAAGCAGGCAGTATCCAGTCCTAAGTCCCAACTCCAAATCCAAGTCCAGCAGAGAACATACAGGACCTCGGACAGTTCCAAGGGTCCCCTGCTAAAGCAACTATAAGAGAGATGATGTCTCCGAAGACAGCTAGAGCTAATTGAAGCTTTATGTAGGCTAGTCAGGCTTTGCCTCCCTGGAGAAGCTAGCTGGTTGGGTAAAGGACTCTTGCCTTATTTTTTGGCCTTTGGCTTCTGTGAAACTGAGGAGACAGGTACCACAGGGGGCGGTATCCTCTGTGTCAGAGGATGGTGGTAGGATTGTGACCTCTAGCTGGAAGTGCCCTGAATAAGGTATTGGAGGTTCTCTCCCTGAGGAAGTAGCCTGAATCTCATCCGAGTCCATCACAGTGAATTGCAAGATCCGTGGGTTGAGGGTCCTGACACAAATGCAGACCTGCACTAATTTTGGATGTACTTTCTTCACTACTGTGTGCAATTTTATGGCAAGTAAGAGTGTTCTTATATTGCAGTGATAAAGAGTGATACTTACATTGAATATTTTTCCCCCCTTCCAGTAGCACCTTAGAGACCAACTAAGTTTGTTATTGGTCTGAGCTTTCATGTACATGCACACTTCTTCACATACTTACATTGCAGTAATTGTAGGAATCAGAGTGTTTTGCTGGTGCATGACAGGAAGTGGTTTTAGAGACCAGCAGAGAACAGAAGCTATTTTCAGTCTCCTGTGGTATCATTTCAAAGTCCGTAGCAACAAGTATTGCATAGGCTGTGTTTTCAGGGTTTTTTTTAATTTGACTTAGGTAGATAAGGTTTTATGGTTACAGCATCACCTTGTTCATCTATCAAAATTTTGAACATTAAAACAAGCTTTGGTTGGCAAATTGATGCGGTGATTGACATCATTATGCTAAAATAGTAAATAAAATTATCCCAAGCCTCTAAACCTACAGTATGTCTCTGCAGACGTACTTATCTTGTTTTTTTTGGGTGCTTTTATGCTTTGTGAGGCACCTTGAGCTTTTTAAGGACAGAAAAGCAGGCTAGATAAATAAAAATAATATACAACACATAAACATACCTAATATAATCATACACTTTGTTCTTTAGAAGTTGCTGGCCACTTCTAAGCTATCAATGTGAGGTTTTTTGTTTTTGTTTTTTTTTTTTTTTAGATCACAGATATCTATATCAATCCCTGATCATCAGGAAATATACATTTAACTAGCTTTGTAAATGGAAACAAATTAGCTTTCGAAGATGGTGGTCAGCCTAAACCAAGCCAGATAACACTTTCAGTATAACCAGCCAATTACAAACAATATTTTGACTTTTCATTTTAATTTTGTCAGGTTGCTTCCTTGTTATTTGAAAATTCCAGACCTTTCCTTGGACATTAATGTAGCTGCAGAGATCAAAGCTACGCAATAGTAACTGAGTTTTGGTTGCCATTACTTTCATATTGTTGGCAATTAGAGGATTTGTATTAATATGCCCAGTTTTTGTATGTAGTTTCAAGTACATTGGAATGCAATTCCACATATACATGCTACTTCCCTGTTAATTTTGGACCTGCAGCAATCACTTGATTTTGTGTGTAATCATACAATTTATATAAAACTTACCCTGTTGTGGCCCTGCCATGCCAATAATGTTCAAGGCATGTATAAATGAATAAAAGAACTGTAAGTGTGCAGCCCAGACTATGCTTTGGATCATGTCAAATTATCCCCACCATATACTGGGGATGGTAGTGGGGTTCGCCAGCACATGAGTCTATGCTTTATCTACTAGGCTGCAATTGCACCAAGATATATGATCTGCCAAAATGTGTCTGTTTGAAAAATGGGTTCGCTGTATGTGAAAATTCCAAAGCTCTGGAAACCAGGTATAAAGTTCACAGAATTGTTACTAGATGACCCTCATCCAACCCTATAGTTCTATGATTCTATGACTCTATGGAGCTGAGGAAGAACTGGGTCATTTGAAGATGAACATGTAAGACCACATGTGCTCAGTCTGGGCAAAGTAACTAAACACATCATTTAAAAACTGAAATGTAGAGATTTATACTGAAATTGCTATAAATGCTATTACTATGTGCTTGACTTGGGGTGCTATTATGAGCTTGCATATGATGTTGTTGATTGGAATATTAAAAACAAGTACATCAAAACTTATGAGGAACATTCCATTAGTGTCTCAGTTAATGCTGACCCGTAGGATAATGTCTAAAATTTATATTAAAAAAACATTTTTGAAGAGACCAAGAGTTAAAGTAGTAAGACTGCAGAAAGGCATATAAATTATGCCCAACCTAACTAAATTTAACAAATTGTTATTTCTTCCTACTACAGACTGTGCAGATCCCGATAACAGTTGACAAAATTTGACTTCCAAAAGCTGCACAAAGTATTTAATAAGCATTTCACATCAAGAAAGCATAACAAATTTGGTGTTTCAATCTATACTGTGATTGTATACAAAATCAACTGATTGTGGCAGGTGTGCCACCTACTTCCCACCCACTGATATGACCAGAAACCGGTGTTCTGCATTATTCACCTGTGACAAACCCAGGCCATGTATCCCCACCTTCCTTTCAAGAAGGAAAAGGCTGGGAGGTGTTTTGCATATTGTTTATTCTTGGGTAGCCCTCCTATTTCTGGGTAGCCCCCCTTTTTTAAAGTACATAGATCTGTATGAGAAACAGTGACTTGCAGTATCTGTAGTGATGAGAGATGGATAGACACTTTTAGCACTCTGAACTTTGATTATAGGCATCTAGTGTCCTCTCCTCAAGAACCTGTAGCCTGAGCAAATTGTTAGTTCACTGGATGAGGTTAGATCCTGTGGCTAGGAAAAACCTGACTTCAGTGTTCAAACTGAAAGAAAAGATTTTAGTCAGGCTGAAGGAAATAACAAATTAGTGATAAAAGAATACCTACCACATTGTTTAGCCTCTGAAAATAGTTTTTAAGTGGTGCAACTTACAGGGAGCTTCTTTTCCCCTCTTATCAGATGCTTGATACGAATTTGGTGAAGTACATAGAATCATAGAATCATAGAGTTGGAAGAGACCGCAAGGGCCATCGAGTCCAACCCCCTGCCAAGCAGGAAACACCATCAGAGCACTCCTGACATATGGTTGTCAAGCCTCTGCTTAAAGACCTCCAAAGACGGAGACTCCACCACACTCCTTGGCAGCAAATTCCACTGTCGAACAGCTTGCTTCCTTGCTTTTGAGATCATGGAAACAGGAGTCATTGGACGGAAAGGGGGCAGTCTGAAAAGAAACAGGCCAAGAGTTTTGCTGACATGGCTCAGGGACTAAATATTAGGGAACAGATGAAGCAGCACTGAGGTGGGAAAAGGCCTCTCAACTGCTATGTCCAGTCCTCTGCTAAGTGCTGTTCTGGACAGGCTACTGAGTTTGCTTAGAGCGTTTGAGCTATGGTTTTTATTTTAAAGCAGGGAAAGCTGTAGCTTTCCAGATGTTGTTGGTCTTCAACTCCCATAAAGCCCAGCTGGTATGTCCAGTGATCAGGAATGATGGGAGTTGTAGTCCAATGTCCAAATACATCTGGAGGGCCACATGTTTCCTGTCCTTGTTGTTTTAAAAGAAAATGAGAACGGCAGGTGCATGGAGTAATGGTATATGCTTCTTCCAATAAAATAATCATTTTAGAAGGAAGTTCACTATCAGGGGAGCAAGGTTAATGTTGACAAAGGAAGAGAAGGTATGGGGCCTACAAAGCCTACGGAATGTATTTTGTAGCAAAAGTGTGAAAATAACATCTAAAGCAAATCCATATTTTATCTGAAAATGTGCCTGAGTTTAAGATGCCTCATAATATTATACAGTACAAAAGCAAATTTTCTAATATGAGTCAGTAACGCTATAGCCAGCAAAGATTAGGTGAAGCTTTACCAGATTATATACTCCCAACTGTAAGAGGATTTGTCGGTGTGACAAATACAGAGTTTAGAAAAATATTATTACATAGAAAAATATGTAAATGAAAGAGAATTACTTCACAACAATGTTGACTGTAACACAAGTTATGTGATATTTATTCATAGAAAATAGTTGTAATTTAAGGTGTGATTGCTGTATTGGCTTAGTGTTTGAAGATTCTTCAAAGACAGTTACTTTTAGCAATGGCTTGAAAATCCTTACCTTTTTGTTTGAAGTCATCAATGAGAGATTTTGTTGGTTGTTTTCCTGTTAGTCATTTGTATGTATTAGAGCTTCAGCTCCAGAGCTGAACAGCTAATACCTTTCTGGTGTGTAAGGATGCAACTTCACATTTAAATGTATTGTAAAACATTACACAAATCTGTAATTATATTACTTTTAAAATAAAGCCTTCATCTATCCTAAGTTCGTTTGATGTCCCTTCCCTGCTGACTCTATTTTTTCCTTGTTCCCACTTTACATTAATGTGAAGAGACAGTTGAGTAAATGCACAATGAACTTCAAAACCTAGTAATTGTTTTTCAGAAAGAATGAAACTTGCGAATTAGATATGGATTGTAAAAGAACACCAGAGCTGATTAGTGTTCGTTAGGTTTGCCTGCTGGACCGTTCTGACACCTGTCTTCCAGCTTTCTCGATAAATGCCACGGCTGATCCCTCTATACTGCCAGTCACATGACAGCGAGCGAGAGCTTGTGGGTGGGAATTAAAAAGATTCCCAGTGAACCTTGTCAGGCTTAGCAATTCATGGAACTCGACATAAAAGGCAACGTTAAACAAAGATGAGTTGAATCCATTTACATGCAAACTCTAGTTATCTGTGTTTAAAATTAAAAGAGAGAGACTGGAATGGATGAATGTTTAAGGAGGTTACTATTCCTTTCTTTGTAAGCTGTGCAGATAATAAGCTTCTAAGATGTTGGTAGGGTGGGGGTTGAGTGGGGAGGAAGCCAACTTTTGGGGCTTGAAAAATTGCCTTTCCTTCTTTTTAAGGAAATACCAATTTCTTCCTAAACCATCTGGTTGTGTCTTGTTTACAGCACAGTATGCCTGTTTGTGCTTATTAATCATGCTTACACAAGTATCTTAATTACTCCCGGTGTAGCTGCTCTGTCTTGAACTCAGAAATTGACCTTTCCCTTTTATTCCTTGAAATCATTAATCATACATAATCAACGACAATGGGACACAAGAGGAGGCTACCAGTATTCAAAAACCACTCACCAGTCCTGAGAAGAAATGTAGACCAGAGTGACTCCACTGCTTGCAGTCAGACATATCTTAATTAATGACGTGTGTGGGTGTGCATAAGCTGCTATTATTTTCCTGTTTTTACCTATCCAGAAGTGGCATTAATTTGCTGCCTTGAGAAATCACGTGCCAGAATTCCCCTCTATACTAAAAATCAAAAGACAAGGAAGAAGATAGTTTTATTGTGGTCTGAATTTATTTGTACTTTTTTCTTTAGCCTTCTTTGTTTTTAAGTAGTAATCCAAATTCCCCATTCCCCCGTCTGTGAATACATCATTTAAGGGTTGTAGTTATTTTAACTGTGGGTGGGTGTTTCCAAAGAAACTGCTTGCCAAATAAATGTTTGTTGCTTGTGTTCATCTGGGCAGTATCTGTAAAGCAATGGCATAGGGAATAAGACTGAAGGCATCAATGGATTATTAATAGGTGTGATTATTAGCTTACTAATTAGAGACTGAAAGTTGTGATATAATTGTAGTGCGTCATCTGTGAATTTAGGATTCAATCATTGTTGACAGTACACATCTTTTAATTGTAATCCATGCATCAGAGGTGAATTTCTTTAATTTGTTTTTACTTTAAATTGCTGAATTTCATATTGCATATGCATGTTTGGTATAATGGTTTTATGGTCAATAATGAGATGAAATAGTGGCAAGAAGTTCTCCCTCTTTCAGTACCCTTAAACTATTATATAGATCTAATGATAATTACTGTTTCTATTTTTCTTCCTTAGTAGCATAGGGGCAAAAATACTTAATTCATAACAGATAAAAGAAAAGGAGCAAGATAACTCATACAGACATGAAACAGAAAATCTATATAGTGAAGAATAATCTCATTCTGATTTTAACAACTGCTATTTCAATATAACATGAATATATAGCTTGGTGGTTTTATTATTTGCATGAAAATTGCTTGGATTTGAAATCATCAGTTCACTCTTAATAAATTAAATAAATGTTTACCTAAAACAGGCACCAAGATGCTTAGAGTAACATAATATAAAAAATACCTAATTGAACTGCAATAAAAATCCCAAATAATAAAATAGTAGCAAGAGGCAAGTTAAATTGCAGAACCAGTACATCCAAAGTCTTAATGAAATAAGAAGGTATTTACAGTCTTTCTGAAAGATGTAAGGGATTAAGTTTGGTAAGCATCTCTCAGGGGTATTTCCCCCACAATTATGGTTCCACCGCAGAAAAAATCTTATCCTTGGTGTCCTAGGTAAGTACTGAAGACTATGAAGGAAGCGTTCAGCAATTGACATGTTAGAAGATACTGTTTCTCAAGTCTGATATAGTGTAAAATATTGTCCTTTGATATGCAACTATACCTATGCCTGAGGGTGGAATGCAACATAGCTCTAAGGGGATTGTTAGCCCTGGGAGACCAGGGTTCAAGTCCCCACTCCGCCATGAAGCTCACTGATAACCTTGGACCAGTAACTGCCTCTCAGTCTACCTTACCTCATAGGGTTGTTGTGGGAATTAAATGAGGAGTGGGGGAACCATGTATGCCATCTTGAGTTCCTTGGAGAAAGAGGTGGGATATAAATAAATAAACAAATCTCCCCTTTTCTCCCCCTGCACACTGTTCTGGGGAATCTTTCAACCTCCCTGAGCAGATATTGGGGGCAAGTGAGGGGTGAAGCTCTGTTGCACTAGCAGGAGCCCTTGTGTTGGCTTCTGCTAGCGGACCTGGGTAGTTGAATCCAGCCTATGGTCTATGTCTTTGTCTCCTTGATCTTATCCAACTGTCCTATCCTACCTGTAACAGAACTCTCACTTTCATGTATCCTTTTTTGAGAGCAGACTGGGTAGATAATTTAGGGAACTGAGATGGAACTGGACATCTTTAGGGAGCAGCCTTCTCCCTTTGGAAACCAAATGTTCTCCAAATCATTATGTTCAACATCACAAAGTGATCTATGATCAGTGGAGGCAAAGCTCTGGTTTTTCTGAAAGTGAAGCTGGTCAGGTATTGAGAAGAGCTTGTTTAGAATGGTTGTGGTCTGTGAGCTTATGCTCAAGATGGATCAAGGGTAGATCTGGGGTTCTGGGGTCTGCATGGAGCATTTTTTTAATTTCAGTTTAAAAAAGCTTCTAATGCAATATGTCTTCTGTTTTACTATGATGGGGCCTGATAATTTCCTCAAGGTACATTTCTCTGATGCTCAAGAAATGTCTGTGGGCAAAGTTAACTGTTTATAACCAGGGTGAGTGGGGAAACCTTTTTAGCCTAAGCCTTCCAGGGGTCAGATGCAGGAGGACAAGGGCAAAAGTGGTTGGAACAATGGGTGTGACTTTTACCTTTGAAAGGTAAGCTGCATAGAGCACCCTCAAGGTCTGTATTTGGCTTCTGGGACTGAAATTTCCTGACTTCTGATTTACAGCGTTGTATGCGGGTGGCGATGTGGGTTAAACCACAGAGTCTAGGACTTGCTGATCAGAAGGTCAGCGGTTCGAATCCCCGTGATGGGGTGAGCTCCTGTTGCTCAGTCCCTGCTCCTGCCAACCTAGCAGTTCGAAAGCATGCCCCAAAGTGCAAGTAGATAAATCGGTACCACTCTGGCGGGAAGGTAAACGGCGTTTCCGTGGTTCGCCAGAAGCGGCTTAGTCGTGCTGGCCACATGACCCGGAAGCTGTACGCTGGCTCCCTCGGCCAATAAAGCGAGATGAGCACCGCAATCCCAGAGTCGGTCACGACTGGACCTAATGGTCAGGGGTCCCTTTACCCTTTACCTTTACCTTCACTATAACATGAATGGAATCTCTTAGCAACAGATCAGCCACACTTACCTTTGCTCTG